GACTTGAAAAGAGAGCAGCAAATAGAGCTCGCTCTAAAGCTGCAGCCGCTGCGCTCTCAGTAGCACACGAGCACTTTATCTCTCTATAAAAGGCATTGATGCGCCCCCTCGCCAAGCAGTTGTCGTTCTGTCAACATGGGAAAGCCAACGCTCTACGGCTTGGACGGCAGCCCCCCGTGCGCGCCGTCAAGCTAACGCTGGCCGCATTGCAGCTGCCGTACGATTATACCGTGGTCAATACCTTGAAAATGGACCAGTTCTCCGAGGAATATCTGAAGAAGAATCCGCAGCACACGGTGCCCATGCTGGAGGATGAAGGGGCCTGCATATGGGACTCGCATGCGATAATGGCGTATCTGGTGGGCAAATACGGCAAGGACGATTCGCTGTATCCCCAGGATCTGCTCAAGCGCGCTGTCGTCGATCAGCGCCTGCACTTCGAGGGCGGCGTCGTGTTTGCCAGTGCTCTGCGCAGCATCGCAACATTGGTTTTCCACTCGAAGCCGGTGCCCAAGGAGCGCATTGAAGCCATTGTCGAGGTGTACGATTTCATGGAAGCCTTTCTCCAGGATCACAGCTACATTGCCGGCGATCAGCTGACCATTGCCGACTTCAGTCTCATCTCCTCGATCAGCTCCGCGCTGGTCTATGTGGACATCGAAGCCGTTAAATATCCCAAGCTGAGCGCATGGATCAAGCGCTTGGAGCAGCTGCCCTACTATGGGGAAAATGCCAAAGGGGCAGAGCAATATGCAGCTTTTATTAGAAGTAAAAATTATACAGTAATTGACTAAGCGAGCGGTTTATCGCGTCGAACTAGCAATCGAGAAGTTGCCGGTTCAACAGCATTTGTTCGTTTTGAGTTTTTTATTTATTTTGTTTTTATCAATTCAGCATTAAAAGACACTTTTTTTGCTTTTTGTATTTTTAAATTTTAATTATTTAATTAATTCAAAGAAAACCCATCAACAACATTTACTGATTTTTATGCAAAGCGCTCGTGACGTCACAAATCGAAGAGAGCACAATTCCTTGCATACTCTGCAGCTCGCCCAATCGAACTGATATCGACCCTCAAAGAGCGTAGGGAAATTCAAATATGTGCCCGTTAACTTTGCTTTAACTTTACTCTCTTGCAACCCTGTTCGCCTCTCTTCGAGCACGAGTGCACATATAAAAAGCGTCGTCGCGCCCCGTGCCCGGTCAGTTAACGTCGACGCGTCGATCAGGTTGAACATGGGTAAGCTAGTACTATACGGCGTGGATGCCAGCCCACCAGTGCGTGCTGTCAAGCTGACGCTGGCTGCACTGCAGCTGCCCTACGAGTACACCGTGGTCAATATCCTGAACAAGGAGCAGTACTCCGAGGCGTATCTGAAGAAGAATCCGCAGCACACGGTGCCCCTGCTGGAGGACGGAGAGGCGCTCATCTGGGACTCGCATGCCATAATCGCGTATCTGGTGGGCAAATACGGCAAGGACGACTCGCTGTATCCCAAGGATCTGCTCAAACGCGCTGTCGTGGATCAGCGCCTGCACTTCGAGGGCGGCGTCGTGTTCGCCAATGCGCTGCGCAGCATTACCAAATACGTTCTCTTCCTGGGCAAGACCGAGGTGCCCAAGGAGCGCATCGAGGCAATTACCGAGGCGTACGATTTCGTCGAGTGCTTCCTCAAGGATAACAAGTACATTGCCGGCGATCAGCTGACCATTGCCGACTTCAGTCTCATCTCGTCGATCAGCTCGCTGGTGGCCTACATCCCCATCGAGGCCACAAAGTACCCCAAGCTGAGCGCATGGATCAAGCGCTTGGAGCAGCTGCCCTACTATGCGGAAAATGCGAAGGGTGCAGGCGAGTTTGCGGCTGTTATTAAAAGCAAAAAGTTCACAATAGTTGACTGAGTGAGTGAGTCGACATTATTAGTTTTCCAATAACTTTTCAATAAATGTTTTATGATTATTAATGGTTATCTTATCATAGATAATCGATATTGTTGAAATTATTCCGTAAAAGCTCTTTGGTGTACGTAGACGGGCGAAAAGAGCGAGATAGTTGCGTCTAATGAAGAGAAAACATGCATGATTTGCCAAATTACGGGTTTTGCAGGGAATTATGCTCTTTGTGCGTTATTGTGTGCATTTCTTAGTTCATAGCGCTCAGTCATTGAGCTATAAATATTTATTTATCTATTTGTACAAATTTCCCAAATTGGAAGCTATCTCTTAAAAAGTTAAAGCGATTGACGTTTTACTGTAACTCATAAACTGCTGCCCAATTGAGTTTGCTCTTCAAAGAGAGAGAGAGAGAGAGAGAGCGCGAAAGGTAACTATGAAATTAGCATATTAAGAGCATATGCCAATATTTTGGCAGCTGCTGTAAAAGCTCTTCTCACACTTCAGTGATGGTTCAGCTGACGAGTCGGCAACATGATCAAGCTGAAGCTGTGTGACCTCGATCCCAGTACGTAACGCACGGAATTGCAGAAGAATCCGCAGCACACGATTTCGTGCAGGCTTGACCATTGACGACTTTGGTCTTATCTCGTCGATTGATGCCGTTAAATATCCCAAGCTCTAATCTTGGATGTAGCGCAGAGCACAGCTGCCGGTGGATGCAGAAAATGCCAAAGGAGCGGGACTTTTTGTGCAACGTTCACAGTGGCCACATAACGGCAGAGGACGAGTGGGAACAGTCACAACAAAGTTCACAGTGGCCACACATAAAAAAGAGAAGAGTGGGAACAGCAGCAAATGCTGAGCACGTGTTAAATAAAAACAACAGTAAGGCATACGTGAGCGGGAACTCTCTTTATTTGACAAATCGCAGGTAAGGAATATAAAAAGCATCATTGACAATAGCTTACTCTTAAAAATACTTTAAATCGCTCTCTTAGCTTAAGGCAGCAGTTAGCCTAGAAGAAGTCTTATCTTTGCGCTCTTAACTTTAAGCTTAACATTTAACATTTATTAGATTCCTTGAGTCATTTTGTAATTTAGAAGATTGATTATGATATGCTAGTATATACATATATATTTATCTGTATATAGTTATCTAATCTGAAGCTCTTAAATGTTAAAACTTTTGATCTTAGCTTGTGTCCTTATGACCTTCAATATAATAATTGAAATATAAACTGTTAGTTAGAGGAGCACTGACCTTTTCCGATTGGCTTAAAATACCTGCGCCGCACTTACCTTACACATTTTGTGGGTTATCAACAACAGTTATCAGTTTATCGACTTGATTCTCTTATCGCGCTGATAAGCTAAAAACAAAAAAAAAAAAAAACAGTGTCATTGCATTGAAAAAAAATATAGACAGGTTTTCCAAGAATTCCGCAAATAACTTTAATCGTTGTTATATAAGCGCAAATAATGATAAACATTAGAAAACAATTGTTTATAGAATGGAATTTGTCTGAGTTTGAGTTTTAGAAAACGTTTCTTAGACCCAAAACGCAGGAACAATCGATCGAAAGTAGAACTTTTACCATTTGAGCATTTGAGATTTTATTTGATTATCTTGTTTGTTTACATAATTAATTGGAATGGTATCTAAAAAAGAGACTGTTCAATTATAAATAATTGACAAGTCAAGTGCCGCCCCCCTACTGTACGTACAATATATTAAAATGGATGCATGCTAGTCCGGCAAGCCCCTCGGATTACGGGATTGACAGTCGCGACAGCTGAAAACTATATACATACATTTATAAACAACGAAACGAAACGGAATTAAATGATATAGTAATTAATGCAAGCAGCGATTCGCACACGATTACGGGTTGAGATAGAGAGAACGAGAGCTTCAGTCCAGCTACAGCCGTACGAGCTCACAGACGTCTCTCGACTTGGCATAAAAATGGGTAAACTGGTTATTGTATGGCCTGGAGCCGAGTCCACCGGTGCGTGCCTGCAAGATGACCCTGCACGCGCTGGGTCTGCAGTACGAGTACAGGCTGATCAATCTGCTGGCCGGTGAGCACAGGAACAGGGAGTATACGCTGAAGAATCCACAGCACACGGTGCCCATGCTGGAGGATGATGGCAAATGCACTGGATTCGATGCCATAATGGCGTATCTGGTGCGCAAATACGGCAAAGATGATGCACGTATCCAGGGATTTCTATAAGCGTGCCGTCGTTGATAGCGCCTGCACTTCGAGTCGGGCGTCATATTCCAAGGCTGTATACGCAACATAGCCCTGCCCGTTTTCTATCGCAACGAGACGGAGGTGCCGCGCAGCAAAATCGAGGCCATCTACGAGGTGTACGATTTCTGGATGCATTCCTGGACAAACAAAAACTATTTGTGCGGCAGCACGCTCACCCTGGCCGACTACAGCTGCATCTCGTCGGTGGCCAGCCTGCTGGGCCTGGCGCCCATCGAACAGAGGCGTTATCCACCGCTCAGCGGCTGGGTGTCGCGCATGGAACAGCTGCCGGACTATCAGTCCGTCAATGGCAATGGCGCGCAAATGTTAATTGATATGTTTAGCGCAAAGATCACAAAGATCGTTGAGTGAGATTTGCCACGAATTTACATACATACATATTATATATATATATACATATATATCAACTTGATTACATAATAAAAGGCGCACAGATGTACGGCTTGTTTATTGTCTGTAGATTACTTGGGTGAAAAATGCATATTGCACAACGAACTTGCACTCGAAATATCACATTTGGAAACAAATAAAGTTGCTTGAGGACAAACTAGTTACGCACTTATTCGAAGTTTACATATACATATACATATATATATATATATTAACGGTATTTAACAATATGCCGTTTGTCAAAATTGGTTGTCAAATTTTTAACAAATAATATTGCACAGAAAAATAATGCTTAAGTGCACAGAAAAGGGCGTGACAAATATGTACTAAAACTTATAAGTTTTAACAACTAAATTAGAGGCCTAACTAAGACCGCTCCGAAATGCCCTGTTATTTTGTTTTTCATCTTGCTTCTTCCTGTTTTTTTGTCGTTTCTTTTTTTTTTTTCGTGATCAGCTAACTGGACGTCTTGCGCTTCTCGAGCGCCTTCCAAACCAGTTTCATGCGCTGCACACACTCGCGATGCTGGCTTTCCCACAGCAGCGTGGTGAGTCGTCCCACGGTGGCGACCCCGTCATCCGCTCCGCGCACCCACATCAGCAGCAATTGGTAGATGACCTGCAAGCAAAAGCGTAAGGCGCAGCTTATCAGCTGGAAAAACAGTTGTGAAATATGTTGATTGACTGACTGACCTCCTTGATGTTGCCGTGCATTTGATGATCGATAATCGCCTGCTCGATCTGACCTTCGGAATGGCCAAGTTCGCGCATAATATGCTTCCAGCCCTCGCCCAGATGCGTGGCGACCGTGTCGAGCAGTCGCTCGTCGGGCTCCTGCTGGGACTGCATCATGGCCACAATGCTGACCGTTTTGCGCGGCACATGACGTTTACCATCGGCTGGTGGAATGGCGCTCGCCACCTCCTCTGTGGTGCTGGTGCTGCCTTTGCGTGAGCTGCAGGCGCTCAGGTTTTGATTAAAATTATAAACTGAGCCAAAATGCAAATTGCTGGCATTCGAGAAGTTCATCACCACCTGTTGCTGTGCACTGTGCACATTCATGGTGTTCATTGTGTTGTTGTTGTTGCCGCTGCTGCTGCCGCTGCTGCTGCCATTGACCAGCGCGTTGCCCGGTATCTGCGCGGATTGCACCACATCCATGGAATTGTAATTGGGATCGGAGAGTTCGCGCAACACCGATTCGGTTAGATCTGCTGATGCTGTTGGCGTATTGGAGGGCAGCGATAGGGCGCCGCTATTGTTATCCGTCTCGCTGATCGGCAATGCATCTGTTTCTAGTCGTCCTTCCGAATTCATATTTGT